AACTCCAAACTTGGAATACAGAAAGGCAAAGACAAACTGCATTTGGAATGTCTTCAAATAGGCACTTTAAGCCAAAGGCTTTTGTCTCCTTTAAGAAGCTATCAAAAAAAAGGAAGTAAAATGTCTTCCTTCCATACTGTCTCACAACAGAGCTTATACACATACATTCTAAAGCCCAGGTGTGTATGACCTAGGGGGGAGGGGAAGGAGGAAGAGGAGGAGGAAGAGAAAAGGCAAAGGAGCACACATTAACTCAATTTGCAGTCCAACACAAAAAAAAGAGGGGAAATTCTAAAATAAATAATCCAAACACAGTTTTTGCATTTTTTTAAATTAATTTTTCATTTTTTAAAATAAAATAACCAAAAAAGTGTAAAGTTACAAAAATGTCATTGTAGTATAATATATTAAACTGTGGGGGGAAAAAAGGAAAAAAGACACTTCACAATCTTAAGATTAATATGGAAGATCATAATTTAAACATAAAAGAATATATTCTATGGATTCATCATCCCGATAAATATGAACAAAATTAACAAAAAGCATAGGTTTCGGCAATAAATACGTTTTGATAAGTTAAATAAGCTTTTTTTATATTGTTGTGCAGTGACAAGCAAAATTTGCTCTCCAATTTCTGAAAAGTTATACAAAATTAAAAACCCAGAAAAAAATAATAAAAAGCTTGGCGTGAGTGCTCTAAGATAGATCTAATGTACTCTAGAGCAAAACCATTAAAGCTATGTCTACTGGAACTTGGAATACACGGAACTTGCGTGTGTGGAATGAATTCCATTTGCCCACCCCCTCTAGTTTTATTTATTGTTTGTAAAGATGTCACATGTATACATGGGGAACTTTTAGCACCAAAATCAAGTCTTTCATAGTCCATCTGGCTTTTTCCCCCAATCACAAGTTCCACTCATGTTACAATCTTTGTCCACTCTCAGCTTTTCTTCCTGCAGACCTGAGCAGACCCAGGCAAGATTAGTCTTTAAAGGGGAAAAGGGTTGGATGTTAAGTGCTGTCCACATGCCATAAGTCTAGCAGAAACTGGCCAATGGGAAGGGAGGGGAGAAGGAACAATGCATTATTGTGGCCAGTGGAGGGAGCAGTTGGTTCTGGATATTCCCTGCACATCTGGAAGTGCACAGAGCTTTAAGGAGGCTGCTGGTGCCCTCTGCAGCCAGAGAGGTAATACAGTCACAGTGAAAATGTTCAAAGGCACTAATTTTGTAAACGGTTATTGCTTTTTACTGTAATTTGGCACTTAAGGTGTAAGCCAGTGAGTCAGCTACAGGCAAGTGGACAGCCTTTATGTTAACATCTAACCCTTAGATTGGGGGGCATTAAGGAGGGGGGTTCAGCTTAACATTGTAATAAAGGTGGGAGGAGGGCAAGAGGAAACCCCAGTTTAGTCATCAGAGATGGAGAGTCTGCTGAAGATGGGAAGACGTCTCGAGTTATCCAGGATGGGTGAATCTGAGCCACTGTGGCTGCTGCTGGAGCTGCTCAGATAGCCTTCCTGATCAGAGAGGGAGTCCTGAGGACTGGGGGGTGAGTCAAACATGTTGGGGGACTCAGACATGGGCCTGAAGAGGAAAGCAGTGGGTGAACCCCCACTGGACACCTGCACCCCTATGCTGGGGGCAAAGAGAGTGGCCAGCTCCTGGCTGGAGAAAGTGAAGGGGTTGCTGGCACAATCTGGCAAGGTGGGCGAGCCCAGAAGGTCATCAGCGCTCAGCATGGGTGGTGGGGTGACTGAAGTGGGGCTGTCCAGCAGCCCATTGGCAGCGGCACTGGGGAAGCCAGCAAAGCTGAAGCTGTGTTGGAGGCGGGGTCTGTCAGCGATGGTGGGGTCCCGGCCCCCAGCCACAGCACGGCGCTCCTCGGCATTGTGGATGAAGTGACAACGAGGCCCATAAGGGCAGAAGCCGATGGTGTGGAAAGTGCGACACAGCTCCGTCTTGTACTTGGGGTGGCGGGTTAGGCTCCGCAGCTCATGGATGCCGTGGGCAAACTGGCACTTGTCACCGTATTTGCAGGCACCGTTCTCCTCGAAGGGGCGGCACAGCTCTGTCTTGTAGCGGCTCGAGTTGATTTGTCCCCCGGGCTGCTTCTGCTGTAGCAGGCGCTCGCCACCTTCGGAGAAGGAGCGGTCCCGAAAACGGCTTTCCCTGGGACCCAGCACAGGGGCCGGCTCCCCCTTGAGGCTGCTTAGGAGCTGGTTCTGGTGAAACTTGGAGTTGGGCAAGGTGACCGAGTGCCTCCTGGGGAAACCCCCGCCAGCTGGGGTGCCCACTGCCTTCCTATCCAACAGACACCCTCCAACACCTGAAGGGCTGTAGTTCAACATCTTGTTACTCTGCGGAGAGAAAGCAAGAGACAGTCAGTCACCCAGCCTGCTCCAGCTCCCCCCTGCAGCCTATTCCCAATGCAACGCATCAGTCAATGACCTGATCACATCCAGCCCCATCATATCAAACCTAGCCTCTATCTTCACCAGCCACATCTCTCTGCAAAATAACCCTGCTTCTAATATCCCACCTTGTAGGACAGCAAATCATCCTGTTACATGGCACCCCCTTGCCCTAGGCAACGACCAGGTGCCCCACCTACCCACACAGTGACCCTGCAATACATATAACCTCCCCCGCCCTAGGCAATAACTTGGGTGCCCCACCTACCCACACCTAGTGCTGCCTACAAGAGCCAAACCCACTATTCTTCCTTCCTAAGTTACACAGTCCTCCCCTGCCGCAAGCAACTACCCACCCTGCTCCACCTCCAGTCCCACAGCCACATCTCCCCCAGGTTCAGGACCCCTTCCATACCCAAGAACCAGTACTTCCTTTTTTGAAATATTCCATCCTGTTCATAGACCCCTCTAGTGTCCGAGACTACTGTAGAAACCTTTGAGAATTGTAAATTTTCTGTACTATAGAAAAGTACAGAAGCATTATCTGGGACAGTCCTACTTCAGGAACAGGGCGTATGTGTGAGAAACTGGTGGGGGCATGAGACTTTTTGGAAATGCATTAATTACTGATCTAAATTAATCCCATTTCTCTTGCTCTTCCAGCACAGCAACAGCATTTCATCTGATCCAGGCCAGTCTTCACCCCTAACCACAAGAGGATTCCTTTGCAATTAGCCTTTGGGCTGCAAGGAAAGTCTGGAAGGGATCAGGAACCAGTTACTTCATCTGCAAACTCTGTTTTAAATATTAAAAACACTCGTTTGGGGAGAAAAGTTACACAGGTTTGCTACAGTCACAGTTACTTTGAAAAGCAGAGCTTTTTAAAGCTCTTCACCTGTCCAGATTAAACAGGTTGTTGTTTTTTTTTTAAAAGGGGGAGGCACAGCCCTTGTTCATGCTCATAGCCCTGTTTTAGTAGTGCAGCTTCATTGTCAACTCTCAAGAAAGTAAAGAGACAAAACTGAGTCAGTCTAGAATTTCTATTTGTAATCATTCTACACTGATCCTTTCAAAACAAGGAAAAGTCTCAGGAGTAGGAGGAAAAGTACTTTCTTGACTATCAGCATGTTGGGGGTAGAGAACTCTGCTTTTGTTTCCCTTTTAAAACCAGCTCTATTAGAAACTAAGAAAAAGTGTCTGTAGACAGAATTTCGCTAAACAAAGGATAAATCCACGGGGGGGCGGGAAGGAACAAAGCTGATCTGGAGGGGAGGAGGAAAATAAGAAGTAAAACTGCATTGAGTGAATGGAAGCAGCTGTGAGTGCAGCACACTGGCCTGCAAAGGTTATTAAAGGAACCTCACCACCAAATAGTTTGGCCCCTAAAGTAAATTTGCAGCTGTAGGAGCAGAAGCAGAACTAACTTGGGAAAATCATAGCAACAAGACCAGGCGTGTTACAGCAGCCTAACACTTGAGCAATTAAAAGTGGCCGAGCAACAACTCGGAAGAAAAAGCTTTCCAACACGGTAAGATTCCTTCTACCAACTCCCCACGTCAAACAGCTCTATAAAGCCAGGCACAGGCACATGCAGCCACAGAAAGGAAGGTTTCCGTTTCCAATGCTTTTCGAATCCTCCCACTTGAAAAGCACAGAACTCAGGGAGAAGGGAAACGTCCTGAACAAGTTGAACAGGACTCCTTGGATTCTTGGGATTTCATACCCGAAATCATTAAAACCAGACATCTCCGCGAAAGTCAGCGATTAACACATTAGAAAGGCCACCCTCCCAGAGGTTGGGGGGGGGGGGGGAGAAGAGAAAGAAAGAGGAGACAGTGAAAAAGGGAACAACTCACAAACAGTTTGGCCACATTCACGAGTTCTCTTTACAACTTCACTGGGCTCCAGAAGGCTATTTGCAAAAAAACAAACCAACCAACAAACCCGCAGCCCCGAAAAGGCGCTCAAAACATTTAGCGAGGTCGCTTGGCTGGGCTCGGTCCTTCCTAGGGGCAAGGAGCGGCAGGAAAGCCAGCCCCCGGCGGGCAAGAGAGAGGTGAAACAAGCCAGCCACAGCTCAGGAGGGAGACGAGCAGAGGGATGTTTACGGCAAGCCGCAACTGACTGACGATCGTCGAGGCAGCACAGCCGCCCCTCGCCGCACGAGGCGAGCGCCAGGGAGGGCTGGCGACCAAGTTTAGTCCCAGTCCAAGCAGGCACCGAACTTCGCTCCAGAACGAAAAACAAGGACCCACCCAAGCTCCGTTCCCTAAAGCGAGCCGGGCCGAGGGGCCCGGTCAGCGCCGCCCAGGCGAGCCCCGGCTTTACCTTGCACAGAACTTCGCTCAGGTCGAAGATGGTCGGGGACACCAGCGCCGTGGACATGGTGGGCGATGGCCGGAGGGCGGCAGAGCAGCACGAGCCCGGCGCAAGGGATCACAGGGTGGGAAGTCAGGCACAGCCTCCAGCGCCCTGCTCCGCGTCCTTCCCCCCCTGCTCCGCCGCCACGCCACGCCGCGCTCTGCCTCCGGCCGGCCGCTCGCTTTCCCCCGCCGCGCTGCCTAAACTCAATTTATAAAGTTTGCAAGCTCCCGGCCCGGCCCGGGGAGGAGCTCGCGGCTCATTGCCAGCCGGGGAAGGAGGAGGAGGAGGGAGATGATTGACAGCGCGCTTGACTCACCCCGCCGGCCGGGCCCGAGAAAACTTTCAAGAGGAGGGAGCGGGAGGGGGAGGGGAGGCAAAGCCCGCTCGGAGCCTGCGCTGGGCTCTGGGTACGAGGAGGAAAGTTTTTCAAAGCTCCCCTCCCCCCCCCCGACGTGCATGTGCAACTTGGTTGTGATTAGAAGGAGGGGGAAGGGCCCGCGCTCCTTTGTGAGTGCTGGAATTATGCAATGGGTGGTGACATCACTCGCTGCACCCACTTTGGGCTGCTTCCCCCCAGCTCAGCTTGCACTGAACTTTTGCAAAACGGCCCAGGCGAGAGCTGTGTCTTTGCAGCAGGCTCTGCGAGTGCCCAGATCCCCCGCCCCCCAGGTAGTTTCCCCGCTTTCCTTCTCGTGTGCAGGAAAGAAACGGCAACTTCAGCTGTTTGTAAAGGCAGGCAGGGTGTGCGCGCAAGAGTAGGTGCGTAGTTGTGGTCTGGTCGGGGGTAGCAGAAAAACAAAACAAAACTGATCTTTGCAGAGACTCATTTTCCGAAATTTCTCCCAGCTGTAATTACCGTGAAACTAAAGAGGAAGGACTGTTCGTGTTTGTTTGCATGATATTGATTCTGTGAGCTAGGTCGTAACGTTTGCTTTTTTCGATTGAAGCTTTTTCCTCTCTGCTGGACACCAGTTGCATGCTTACGTGTTGGAGATTTTTTTTCCCCAAGGAGATCTATTTCATCAGGAAAACAGGGGCCCAGTTTTTATCTGCTTAGCTTTTCTTCTGCCTGACCAACACGTTCGCAGATTTTTATTTAAGATGGTGTCTGCGAAGGCGATCAGATAGCAAGTGACACTGACAAAAAACAAGAGGCCCTCTCGATTTCCCCCCTTTGCTCGATCGAAAGCTGGAGTACTATTTGGTGTGTTTGCACGGGGTGCGCTTTCTGCATGAGTACCCGTTGCATTCTGTGCTCCCCGCCCTTCTCCTCTTTGAATGGAACAGATGGTTTTTCAGTCCATCCAGGTTTCATTTCACTCTTGTTATTAATTTTTTTCTTCTTTTGGCGGGATGACAAAGGAGCGGGGCACATGGATTGAAACATGACAGACTGACTAAAAAAAACAACCCATAAACTTGTTTATCTGCTATTTGCATCAGGAAAGCAACACGTTTGCAAAAGCTGATCAGTTTCCCCTCTGCCCCTCTGAAGTTCTGAAATGGAAGACTAGACTGAAGTGGAAATATTAAACTCTTAATTTCTTTCCTACATATTTCCATGTGTCCTTTATCACCTCCTCGTCCTTTTTACAGTAAGTGTCACCCACTCCAGCCCTCAGATGTTTATTCCACAACACTTTTAACTCCTCGATCTGTTATGAAACAATGTGTGTGTTTAGTGCATTTTCCATTGCAATATAATTAGGTCACCTAATTATAAGCACGTTTCTTTAGAAAGGCAAAATTAGAGTATGAATCGGCTGGCTCTCCTCCTCCTGACAAATTTTAACAGGAATTTATTTAATCAATGTAAAATAAAATATCAGAGCGCACACAAACTTTAGACTTTACTCCTTAAAGCTTTAAGGGCTGCAGCTGAGCTGTGCGTTGCATTTCACAACTATAAAGAATTATTTCCAGTTTGGGCTGGCTTGGATTTGTCTACTTTGATTTAAATTGATTGAATCCATTTTTAACATTGCTGCTGTCTTTGCATTTTTGGAGGCTGACTGTCTTCAAGTTGATTCACATCTCCCACCCCCTTAGTCTTACGGCCTTTTTCCAATTTTGATTGAAACCTGGCAGGCTCTGCTAAAGGAAATAACTCACATCCATATTAATTTAAATAATTAAAATGTGTTTAGTTCTTAAAGTGGTGTTCGCTAATTTCTGCCTTTGCTCTCCATTCTTCCCCCAGTCCCCAAAGGGCACTTTTTAGCAATTTGAAATAATAAAGCTTGGGGGTGTGGGGAGGAGTAAAGTTTCTTAGCAAATAATCTGTTCCAGATTTTAGTACACAAAGAATTATGTATACTGATATTGATGGAAGGAGGGGGGAGTGGTTTCTTTGTAACAAGCTTGTTTCAAGGCTTCTAATGTGGGGCTCCTTAAATGTGAAACTTGTTGGGTCAAACCCTGCAGTCCTTACTCGGGCAAAACTTTGACTGAAGTTAGCGGGAGTGAGAGTATTGCCAGAGGAAGGCCTGTGGGATTTGGCCCCTTGTTATTAATCCATCCAGACTGAGACTTGAACTATAAACTCCTTCTTAAAATGCATCTCACGATTGTACTGAATATTCTGCTTCCTCACATAGCCCAGACTTCCAAGGAGAACTGAAACCCTAACTGCAGAGTCCAGAATGCAAGCCCAGCTAAGAGCGCATTTAAAACAAACGATCCCTGTTCCCACTTCCTCTTCTGTTTGCTTCAGTCTCAGGAACTGGGCTTTAAACTTGTCTTCCTGACTTTCCCCTCCTTCGATATCCAAGAACAGCCAAAATAACGAATCGAGAGCAAACACCCACAGAGTCTGTCCCTTCCATATTTCCTTTTTTATTCTTTATTTAAGGATAGAACCCTAGTTCCACTCATTTTCCTTCTCTTTCTAGATACATTTTTGTTTAGTTTTTTGCCAGAATTGAAAAGCAACCAGCAGAGAGAGCAGCTTGAACATGTTATTTTCTGCAGTTGTTTACTGGCTCTGTGGATGGTGCTTGTTCCCAGAGCTCTGAGCCTCTCTATAATTAAACCTTTTTTAATTGTTAGGTTGGAAACATCATTCCAGGGACTTTCCAAGGGTTACCAAGTCCAAATGAGGAAGCCAGTACAGATAACTATTTCATGACTGACTTGCTTGGAGCCTGGCTTTTTCATTGAATCTGATCTCCTGTACTCTGATTACTCAAAGGTCTCAGAACGAGAGTGGAGTCTGTGCCACAGTGGGCACAATCCTGCATTCCTTGCACACCCAACCCACGTGGATTTGAATGTGAGTTTTGGTTGCACAAGGAATGCAGGATTGGACTCTCTGTTACATGCCCCATATCAATCAACTCACCAAATTGTATGTATGTTATGTTTAATATTGTTGCACATATTTTGTGCCTTATATTAAATGTATGCAATAGGATACACATACACTTACTATGGGAACTGTAGCTTTCTGTTTCAAAACCTCTTTGCATTTAGGGTCAAATGCTGGTCATACTGCTGTCCAGTGAGAATTTTGATGGAATCTGGATTTAGGCTGTAAGAGCCTGACTTTCAGCCACGAGGTATGTCTGGATTTGTACACAAGCAAATCCCTCCTTTGAGCACGTGCCTGGATAAATATAAGCCAGACTTTTGCCACATGCATGCACAGAATGGGAATTTGTGTGTGCACCTATGCACGCCTCTCTGGGGGCTGAAAAATCAGACAGGTCCATTCTCAAATATAACATTACAGTCACATTTTTGCACTGAGTTTAATTGCGACGTTTGTTTTTTTAAAAGAAAGAAAAAACCATTTCTAGCCACCACACACTTGAGTAAACACATGGGTGGGTTTATCTGAATGTAATGTCATGTACTCTGGGGTTTGTACAGTAGCTCTTTAGTGCAGTGCACCTACTTTGCAGCTTGGATGGTGCAAATGGACTTGGGGGTCAGCAGTAAGGCTGCCAAATTTGTTGAGCCTCTTCTGCAGCCATCTGTAGGCCTCTTTTGTAGGTGCTGCTTCTTGAGTGCCATCACATAAGCCTTCATCATCAGATTCAGGTACAGGCCAACTGGTTGACTGGGCCTCCCTTCACTCCTTATTGGCCAAGCTCACCCAGTGACATGGTTTTAAAAAGAGGGGGAGATGAGTCTTATTCAGTCCACATACACATAGAGGAACATGGAAATTGCCAGAGTGGATCAGACCTATGGTCCCTGTAGTCTAGTATCCTGTGTCTGATAGTGGTCAGTACAAGATGCTTCAGAGGAAAGGATGAGAAACCCCGCATTAAGCAGATATGGGATAATTACTCCCCCACCTCCTCCAGTAGGTCTCCTCCTAATAATCCCTAATAGTTAAAGTTGGCATATCAACGGCTCCACCAAGTCTGGTAACCTCGCTCCTGAATTACCTTTATCTTTTCATGGGACATGATGACATCAATGGGAGTTTTACCATTGTCTTCAAGGGGAGCAGCATATATTGCCCATGGCTGTTAATTTCCAATTCTGTGCACTTTTTTTCAGATTTCAATGCAGAGTACCACAGTTTGAAAAATTGGAATTGGACATGTACTGTCATATTGTTTGGGCCAGGTGGCGAAGACTCCAGCACAGGGAAATTTAAACTGATCTCTAACTGGTCTCATAACCAGAGAACACTTTATTTCAACGTGCTTGCCTCAGATGGATCCACAAGAACTACAAGCCTCAGTACATTGTTAAAAGATAGAGGAATAATCCTTAGTCTTTACTCTGATTAACTCCCAGTGACTATAATGAGTGGTTAGACTAAGGGCCAAGTTTAAACCAAATAAAGATTCAGGATTTGGATCATGCATAGTCTGTGATTTTATAATTCTTACAACCATGGAGAGATTTGGTTTTCTGCAGAAATACCAAAATTACCAGAGACACCTGTTCTCATCTGAGAAGGTTATAAGCCCTTGAAAATAGGGGTTTCCTGTGTAATAAATGTGGCTTCTCAGTCATAATGCTTTAGTGTACACTGAGTTTAAACAGGTTTCAGAGTAACAGCCGTGTTAGTCTGTATTCACAAAAAGAAAAGGAGTACTTGTGGCACCTTAGAGACTAACCAATTTATTTGAGCTTATGCTCAAATTGGTTCAATTTATTTGAGCATATTTATATGCTCAAATAAATTGGTTAGTCTCTAAGGTGCCACAAGTACTCCTTTTCTTTTTGAGTTTAAACAGGCATAGTAACCTTCCTGTATCTGTTTCAGCTGGTTCACTGGAGTATTAATATCTTCTGGGTCACAGTGCTATTTGTGTGTGTTTTGGGGAATGGGTAAAGGTAGATTTCTTTTAGTCTCATGTACCCCCAATGTCTTTTTTACACATTTTCCCCATTCCATGTACCAGTTCTTCAGCAGCCTTTACAAATATTGTGCATGGATAGGTGAGTACAGGCATGCCTCTTTCTTTTTTTCCCCCTTATAATGTGTCCTTAAGGGTTGTTTGTTTTTTTAAAGTCTGTTATTTTGGTCTTGTGATCTCTATATGTAACACTTCTCTGTATCCATTGGGAAGTATGAATGGCCCAAGTTGGAAACCATTGCTTTTAGGTACACCCTCTGCTGGGCACTGCTGGCTCCTTGGGAAATGCCTAGCTTTCTGGTCAAAAGCAAAAAGGTATATTTGCAGCTGCTTGGTAAGAAAACAAACTCCCAAAGATACAGGAAAGTGCGTGGAGGTGGTAGGAAGCGACGGGAGTGCAATTCCTGGCAGCTTGGGTGTGTAAACATTTATAAAAGAGAGAGAGAGAGAGAGTGTGTCTACTTTGCGGTAGCAGGAAACCTAAGTTGCCAACACCATTATTTTTGCAGGAGTTGGAAGATCCAGCACCAGGCAAATATTAAAAACTCTTAATCCTCCCGACTTTACACCTGTAAATAACATAAAGAACATCCAGCATGAGATAAATTACATGATATCTTTGCTAATCATTTCTGGGTTTTAGGATCTGAGTTTGCTGGTCACAAGAGGGTCTCATAGTTTCTTAGTAGCTCAGATATTTGAACCTGGTTGGTGTGGGGCGGGGGAAGGCAGAAGGTGAGGACAGAATTTGCTCTCTGCAGAAAAGATCAAAAATATTTGAGTAACTTGTGACAAACTTAGCACTGGTGGCCTTGACAAGATAGTGCTGTGGAAAATGCAGAGGTGTCATTTTGGCAGGCTATCGAGTAAGGAAACTTAATGGACCTAAGTTATAATTTCCAGTAGCAATACTAATGCCATTAATATATTTCCACATAACAGGACACCGAGCCTATACTTACGTTTGTTTTCTATGATTAGTTTTCTTGTGGCCAATATATTGCCACTGTTAAGTAGCTGTGAAGAGGGATCCAAACATGCTGGAGGGAGGGAAGAGCAGGCACTAACTGCACAGCAATGGAAAAACAGTGGATGATACAAGAAAAGAGTTAAAATCTGTCAGGAGCCCCTGCTGCCCATCTGTGTAAAATAAATGTGCTCCAGATGTCATCTTGGTCTTACATCTCTGCTCTTCCTTTTCCACTGTTTGCAGCATGCTTGCCTTCATTTTTTTCTGGCTGTGTGCCTTCTACTATACTGCCCCCTATAGACCAAGTTCACCATTGTCTTGCATCCTGTTGTAGCTGTTTACATGAGTACAAAGTGGGTGTAGAAATCACTACCATTCTGATTTGGTAGCAGTTTACATGCACTTTGCACTGGTGTACATAACTGCACAAGGTACAGGGCTGCAGTGAATGAGGCTGTTTGTCTGTAATAGGCCATGTATCCTCACCTCATAGCCACCCTCTCAGCTCTTCAAAACCCACGTTTTCAAAACAATTCCTTCTTTCTTCTCATTAATACCATTACCACCCACCCACTTGCTTGTACTATTGTCCTGTGTCTTATCTTGTGTTTGTTCTGTCTAGCTTAGAGTGTAAACTCTTCAAGGGAGGGAGCATGTCTTATCACTGTTTGCAAAATGCTAGCAAGCTAACTAGGCCATATAAATGTTTTTAATATTCATAACAACATGGAAAGTAGGCCAGTTTAGTAAAAGAAACAGTGCAACCATATGAAGGTGTGGGAACAATTTCTCCACTGCAGATTGATGTTGCACCATTGGTGAATTATGGCCCTAGAGCCAGCCTAGTTAGCCAGGGTTAGAGCACCCACACATAGGGGGAGTCTAGTGGCATAGAGCTGGCATAATGACTCCTACACCACTATCTCCCACCACAGCCAACACAGCTTCCCTATGCCCCATGAACTCCCAGCCGCACTATCAACCCTTGCTGTTGGCAGCCAGCATCAACTTTCAAGCTGCTGTAGGTTGTACCTGAGGATCGGCCTGGCACACAAAAGAAGTTTTCCACCCCCCCACCCCCCACTTCATTAGCTTTGCTCTGTGCTCACTGGCTGAAGCCAAGGATCTGGGCCAGGGGTCGGCAACCTTTCAGAAGTGGTGTGCCGAGTCTTCATTTATTCCGTCTAAGTTAAGGTTTCGCATGCCAGTAATACATTTTAACGTTTTTAGAAGGTCTCTATAAGTCTATAATATATAACTAAACTATTGTTGTATGTAAGGTAAATAAGGTTTTTAAAATGTTTAAGAAGCTTCATTTAAAATTAAATTAAAATGCAGATCTTATCAGTTTAGTGTGATCGTTGCCCTTGCTTTTCCTTGCTGAGTTTTCCAATGTCTGGCACGTATTTGGATAGTTTAAGCTGCACACAGGCTTCTGAGTGATCAGTTGTTAACCAGCTCTGAGAGGGACAGAGGACATATTTCATGTGTGAAAATACCTGTTCACGCAGGTATGTGGATCCAAATGCTGAAAGCATTGCAAACGTAATTTTCTTCAAACAGTTACATTTCACTGGCAGGGATGTCCAGCAGGTCAGAATAATCTCCATGGTCTCTCTCTCAAGTGCACTCTGCAGATCTCCAAACTTTGATGCCCACAATTCTGAGCTTTTTAACTGAATGAGCTGCATTTCGAAATCTTCACCACCCATCCACTGAAATACAGACAAATCCAAGTCGCTTTCGTTGAACTTTTCAGGTTTAATTAGAAAAGAAAGCATTGGGCCAAATCGCTGGAAATCTTGAAATCTGTCAGAAAATTCTGATTCCAGTTCTTGCATGTACATTCTAAGCTCAGCATCAGACGCCGTGCGCTGTTCCACGTGGCGTGATAGTGATGTAAGCAGCAAATCAGGACTTAAAAATTCCCCAGTCCAGTGGCGCTGGAACAATTTTTAAGCTGGGGGTGCTGAGCTGCACCCCTCTTGCCCCTGTCTGCACCCCTCACTGCCCCAGGCTGGGGCCAGTGAGCCACAACTGGGGGTGGCTGCAGAGCCCCGGGCCGGCGGCCAGGACCCCAGGATGGCAGCAGAGCCCCCAGGACCAGTAGCTGGGACCCGGGGCTGAGTGGGGCTGGTGGACGGAACCCTGGCTGGCAGGGGGCCGGCAGCTGGTACCCCAGGCTGGCAGCGGAGCCCCCGGAACTGGTGGCAAGGACCCGGGGCCGGCAGCGGGCTGAGTGGGGCTGGTGGACGGAACCCCAACTGTCAGGGGGCCGGCGGCTGGTACCCCAGGCCAGCAGCGGAGCTCCCGGGACCGGTGGCCAGGACCCAGGCATTGTGAGTGCCACTGAAAATCAGCTCGCATGCCACCTTTGGCACGCGTGCCATAGGTTTCCTACCCCTGATCTGGGCTGTGGTGCAGAGCATAACAGCCACGTTAGAAAAGGAAAAGCCATTTTAATAGTTTAGCTTCAACCTAGCCTGATTAGAGCTACCTTTGTTTTGTTCAGTGCACAAAGGGCAGTCAAAGACTCTCAGGTACAGGGCTTTTATTTTAGATCAATGGAAACTACAACAACCCAAGAAAGAACTACAGTAAAGTCTCCGTGAGAGAGCAAGTGGTACCTGCTGCAAATCTGAACAGAAACTGCTCTCCAAAATGGAGGGCCTCATAGAAGCTTAAAGGTGCAGTACACAGAAAATAGCACAAATTCCAGACTTTTTTCCAAAATCTCACTCCAGATTTATAAACCCATGAATGTTGTTCTATACAAATCTAAATTATTTAGATTTGTATAGAACCTCCCATCCAGAAGGAATATAAAGCAATTCAGTCACTATGTGCCAATATCTGCTCAATTACATTGGTGCAATTCCAACTGTGTCTGACAAATTTTGACCCGTGCAATTTTCCATGCTTGGTCTCTTTGCCAGAGGTTGAATGTGCTAATGAATTTTTGCCAGTGTTAAATATTTGTCTAGGTATTTTGTTGTTATTTGTTTGAAACAACTCTAGTGCCTCCAGGGTTTGGAGTGGGATTTTGCTACTTGGCAGGGATGTAGCACAGAGGTCAGGGTGCTGCCTTTTTCTACCTGCTTGCAAATCCATCCAGATTTCGCCAATTTATAATCTGGGGAGGGGGGAGGGAGGATTGCATATCCATGATGGAACTTATTCTGCACTTGTTCCATAATTTTCTGAACATTCCCATTACACTGCATATGCTTCTAAACCTCAGTGAGGTGTTTGCACCAGCCAGTCAGGTTGCTTTCCTGCCCATCCCATCAAAATGCCCTTTAGCCTGGGGGAAGGTACAGTGGGCAGGGAGCCAAGTTCAAGTCTTGTCTCTTCTGATGAACCTCATGCCTGTGCATTTTGATGCAATCTTAAAATACATGATCACATATTTTTTTTCACAGGATGGAGTGTTAATCTATGCCATTTGGGGATTATTGGAGTGCACCATGCTCCAGCCATGTTTCTGACACACCTCCTACATCAGGAGCTGTAAGAGGAGCTGC